CATCAGAGTTCCTATTTTTTTTATTAGTATTGCATTTGCTAATGAATTTTGCATCCCTCCATTGCTCAAGTAGCTGAACCCATATTGGAAGAATAATCCATTCTGGACATTGCTTTGTCTTACGAGCACTAGATAGTGCACGTGATAAACCTTCCGATCCTTTCTTGTTGAAATTCTTTGTAATGCGTGAATGATATTCCGGCCTCCAATAATACTTCTCCTACAGATTTAATTACACAAGACCACAATTTTGTAACATAAAGTAATAAAACAATGTATAACAAGTTATTGAAAATACATGCATCACCTTCCTGTTTTAGTGTACATTGAGTTCATTGAAAGAAAAGTTAGCAAGTTAGCAAATTGAATATGGCACTTACTAGTTTCTATAAACAAGAAAAATAATTCAGTAGATATTACATTGAATAAACTCAACCAAGCTTTCTTCAATCCTGGTGAAGCACGTGTATAAGAGCGAATCGGTTCATCAAACTTCTTCGTAATACACGGCATGACAAAACGATTTGCCTTGCATGGAATAAAGCTGCAAACATTCACTAAGTTATAAACATATATAGAAGAAATATTTTTAATCATTTACAAAAAATGGATATAACTATGACTACCTATTAATTCTTAATTGAGGTACCAGATTAAGTTTGATTGAGTGCAATAGAAGATAGTTTAATACTTAAGTTACCCAGAAATGCCGTCAGGAACAATCTCGATCTCAGGTTCTTGGTTTACAAGGGGAGATAGTGGTGGAGTAGATGGGGTAACCAGGGTAGTAGAATCATCTGAGCTGGTTGCTGCATTTTGAGATGGACATGAAGTAGAAGAGCTTGGATCTCGTGGTTGATAACGATTTTGAGCATTGATTACTGCAGGTGGGTAAGTGATGATTCGTGATATGTTTCCATTCTGAATCTCGTGATGCCTGGATAGCCAAATCAATTTGTTCACTTGTGATGCCTGGATTAAGAGCCCTCAACCCATCTTCATACGACCTACAAATAACCACTTTCACAAAATTATGAATATCATTAGTACATAGTGTAGAGGATGAAAAGAAATTCTTACGTTAAGTATGGTTTGACTTCCGCACAGTTCAGTAATACGTGTTGATGTGCTGCAAAAAACTCTTTACTATTCAGATATCGAAATCTAGTCGCACCCAACCCACGACCTGGACGATTAAAGACTGACAGGGTCGGCTGAAGACTGACATAGATGCCACCGTCATCCAAATTGCGACCAACTTTTGTTCTCCAACTCTCTACATGAGACTCAAAATAATATGAAGCAAAATTTGTCGCCTCTTCAATTAAATATGCCTCACATATAGAGCCTTCTACCCGGGCTTTGTTTTTTACCTTTCTTTTAAGGTAGTTAAATAATCTTTCAAAAGGATACATCCACCGGTATTGAATAGGTCCACCCATTAATGCTTTGTAAGGAAGATGAACAGGTAAATGCTCCATGCAATTAAAAAATCCTGGAGGAAGAAATTTCTCCAACTTACAAATGATTATTGGGATGTTTTGTTGTAGTTGTCTCACTTTATCCACATGTAAGTTTGCCGAACATAGATCTCGAAAAAATTGACTAAGTTCAGTAATAGCTTTCCAATGACTGGGTGGTAAGAAACTAAAAGCAACCGGCAGGAGACACTCCATGAAAACATGACAGTCATGGCTTTTCATTCCATGCAGTTTGCAATCTTCTAAATCAACACAAGAAGTCAAATTTCCTGCATAGCCATCTGGTGTACAAAGGTTTTGTATCCACTCATACACTACCCTCTGTTGATTATTGTCACAAGTAAAACTTGCTTTTGGTTTCAATAACTTTCCATTATTGTCAACCCTTAATTCGATTTCTGGCCGCGAGCAGTGCTCCTTTAAATCCATCCTTGATTTCACACCATCTTTGTTGTTTTTTGTTCCTTTGGTATCCATAACCGTATGGAACACATTATCAAAAACATTTTTTTCGATGTGCATCACATCGAGATTGTGTCGAATCATATTATCCTTCCAATATGGTAGTTCCCAAAAGATACTTCGCTTGGTCCAGTTATGTGTAGAACCATAACCTGGTATCTTCGAACCCTGTTGTTCAGTTATTTGTGGAATGTATGAAACACGTTCCAAAACTGCTTCACCACTCAAAATGTGTGGTGGATATGCCTTTTCGATCCTTCCTTTTACAAAAACATCTTTGTTTCTTCTAAATGGATGATCCATGGGCAGGAATTGACGGTGACAATCAAACCATGTGCACTTTCCTCCATTCTTTAGCCAAAAAGATTTTGAGGATTCCATACAATATGGGCATGACAGTTTCCCAGCAGTTTGCCAACCTGATAGCATCCCATATGCGGGAAAATCACTTATTGTCCACATTAAAGCTGCTTTCAATACAAAGTTGTGCTTTAAGGATACATCATAAGTGACAACACCTGTTTCCCACAAACACTTCAACTCATCAATCAATGGTTGTAAGTACACATCTATTTTAGCCTTTGGGTTATGCTTACCAGGAATAATAGAAGTCAAAAACATATAAGGAGTCGTCATACACATTGAGGGTGGCAAGTTGTACACTGTAACAATAATGGGCCAACATGAATATGATTTGGCAAACATACCAAATGGAGAGAATCCATCTGAACAAATTCCAAGTCTAACATTGCGTGGTTCTGAAGCAAATTGAGGGTACATTTGATCAAAGTGTTTCCATGCCTCACCATCTGATGGGTGACACATAACACTGGGCTCACATTGACTTTCAAAATGCCACCTCATATGTTTAGCAGAACTCGGTGATGCGAATAACCGTTGTAACCTCGGAATAAGTGGTAAGTAGTGCATCCTTTTTCGAGGAACTTTTGAATTTGGCTTATAACTTTTTTTGAAGCGTGGCTCAAAACAAAATTTGCATTGTGCCAATGCAATATCCTCCTTATAATACAACATGCATCCATTCACACAACAATCAATTTTTTCATGACCAAGACCGAGTTTAGAGACCAATTTTTCAGCTTCATAGAAACTAGATGGCACATTATTTGGTGATGGCATTGCTCGATTGCAAGCATCGAATATCTCATCCATTGCTTTTTGTGCAATGTTATAGGATGACTTAATACTCATCATCTTAAGGGTAAAAGACAATTCAGTATCTGCTGTACATCCTGACCACAACGGTTGTTGAGCAGAATCCAATAACTCGTAAAATTGTTTGGCACTATCATGCGGGCCCTCAATGTCTCGATTAAGATAACTAGGTTCTTGGTTCAATCCAAAATTATCATAAATCATTGTTTCATACATGTTATCTCCATCCATATGGTTGTGAGATGTATCATCAAAATTTCCACTGGATTGTAAAACATCTTCACCATGGAAAATCCAACACCAATAGTTTGACTCAAAACCCCATTTGTAAAGGTGAAGTTTTACATCTCCTGGATTTTTATAACGGCGATTCCTACATTTTGTACAAGGACATTTAATAACATTGTTCTCAACAAAAGTTGGTTGTACACACGCGAAATCCACAAAATTATCCACTCCAGCTTTAAATTCATCTGTTAACCCTTTCTGACCGGGGTTCACTCGATTATACATCCAACGACGTTCATTTCTATAATCCATTGTTATCCTGAAATTTGGGGAAGAATCTTTATGGTTCAGTCTTGACATTATTGTTATAGACCAAATATTAATTACACAATAATAGTTTTCTCCACAAAATGAAAACGATATTAACTTGTCCAAATACATATACACATACTTTACTCATTTGATACTAAGAATGTTTTCAATTGGACTAAGAGCCCGTTTGGTAACATTGTTATTCAGCTTATCAGGCTTATCAACTATTGTTTTGCCAAACACGTAACTTTTGATTTCACACACAGAATGTGTAATAATAAGGGAAAAAAGGTTGAGTTTACTTTACTGGATGTTTTGGTAGAAGTTACTGTAGAGAATCATTTTAGCTATTTTTACATATAATTTTTTCTTTATTTCATTAATAAAATATATTTTAAATTTAATTTTTTCATAGATCAGCAGAATCAACCAATACAACCACTTAAGACAGAACTTCATAAATTTTACCATGATCATCCAATTCAATTAATTTCAGTGTTACGAGACGGGCTCTAAAACTTTCTGGTTTGGTTTGATCAAGTCTAATCTGGTATGGTCTAGTATGATTTAGTTTGGTCTAGTCTAAACTAGTCTGGTCTGCAATATGTCTGATCCTTGGGTATTTATAACTACAGAAGTATGGTTTGAGATGATCTTCTATTTTTAAGTATGGTCTGATGTGATTTGCTCTATTTAAGTATAGTCTAATTCACTCTGAGACTGAATTAAATCTAAGTAAAACATCCTCATACTAATAATACTGTTTATGGCACCGCTGCTCAGACTTTTTATTTACCAAATAAATTATTATTATTTTAATGTACATAGTACTGTATGAATAACTATACAATAATATACGAGATGAAACAATTTACTACGTATAAATTATCGACAACTTATAAAGTATCAACGTTAAAATCTACACCCAATTTAAATGGCCGATAGAAACAATTTATATATACGAAGTACTTGTATATATAAAGTATCGACAATTTAACAAAGCTGCCATTAAACAAAATTGTTTTATTAATATACGAACTTTGAAGTAATAAAATTGAAGACATACCTTATCCTCCTAAAATGTAACTCTGAATACAGCTACAAATTAAATAAAGAAATTTGCTCTGCATTGTAAATACTCCAGAGAGAATAAGAATGATACTCCGGAGAGGCGTAGATAATTGTGTTGAGATGAAACAAAAAAAAAACAATAATGCTCTTTGTACACACAATTGCACCCACCCTATACACACTATAAAAGCCCCCAAAAAAATTACCCCCACTTTTCCCTCCTCCCCTTTTCCCCTCACCTCACTCGCATAACTCCCTCACTCCCCCCGTTTCTTGAAAATCAAAACACCCGCCCCTCCTCTCTTCTTCCTTCGACGATCATAAGCACAAGCAAAGATAATTTCTGATTTTACTTCCTCCACCATGGATTTTTACATGGACGAGAGCATGGTGAGAAACGACCCTGAGTTTTGGGGCTTGTTGAATGCTGTTCCCGGAGGTGGAGAAGCAGGATACGCCGACGGACCTGGAGAACTCGACGGTGACGACATGACTTGCGGAGGCGGGGATGGGTCTGGGCAGAAAGCCGGAGGTGGAGAAGTTGATGGACAGAAAGCCGGACGTGGAGAAGGTGACGTTGAGACGGACCTAGGCGGAGAGGATGAAGGACAGACGTCGCCGGCGGCCATGGACGTTGTTTCTGACCTTGGTAGGACTTCATCTCATGTTTTTAGTAGTTTAATGAAGATTATAACAGCTTTCTTCTCACAGGCATGTTCTTATGTGTTTATGTGTATAATTGTTTGTGTACGTAAATAGTGGTGGATACACAATGTGTCTGTGTACCCCTAAGTTAGTTTCAACTGATGCATATGTTTCTTCAAAAATTATACATCATGTGAAAGTTTAAAATTGTCTGTGCTTACCCCTTAGTAGTATTCAAAGTGTCTATGAAGCTTTAGAATTGTCTGTGTCTGTGCAAATATCACTGTCTGTGTGTACTAAATTGTTTTAAACACATGCAAACGTTCGGTGACACATGCAAGTTGTAGAAGGTGTCACTTGTTTATGTGTGTGTTTGTTTTTGTATGAAATCAGTGGAAGACTGATTTGCTTGTGTAGTATTCAACGGGTATGTTAAAGTTTGGAATTGTCTGTGTGTGCATATATGACTGTCTGTGTGTAAGTTTAAGTGTGTTGAAATGCATCAATAAATGAGCAATTTACCATAACAGATGGAGAAGGGTTGGTAAAGGAGAGTGAACTTGGTACAGAGCCAGAAGTTGGTATGGAGTTTGAAAGCAGAGAAGCGATCTATGAATTTTACAAAGCATATGGGAAGCGTTTGGGATTTCCTATAAGAACTAGGAGCACAACAAAAGACAAAAGAGGAAGAGAGATTGTGTCAGTTGTACTGGAGTGTTCGCGGGCTGGTCATAGAGGTAGTCAGTCAAAAAATCAATTGAAGCCCCAACCTTCAATGCAAATAGGGTGTGGAGCTAGACTACGTGCGCACGTAATTTATTCGGGACTTTGGCAAATTTCAAAAGTGTTTCTACAACATTCACATCCTATGAGTCCAACAAAGGCTAGACTATTTCGGTGCCATAGGAGGATGACGCATGGAATGGCGAGGAAACTTGCAATAAATGAAGTTGCGGGAATACGACTTAATAAAAGCTTCACCGCGGCCGTTGTTGAAGCCGGCGGATATGATCAACTTCCCTTCATTGAAAAAGATTGTAGGAACTATATAGATAAAGTGAGACAACTTAGGCTAGGTAGTGGCGATGCAATTGCCATTCAAGGTTTCTTTGCTAAAATGCAAGACCAATGTCCCGGATTTTTCTTTGTAATTGACTTAGATGAGGAGTCAAGATTGCGTAATGTATTTTGGGCCGATAATAGGTCTAGATATGCGTACAAAGAATTTGGAGATGTCATAACATTTGACACAACCTATCTTACGAATAGGTATGACATGCCTTTTGCACCATTTGTCGGGGTAAATCATCACGGGCAATCATTGCTAATGGGATGTGGATTAGTCTCTAACGAAGATACACAAACCTTTGTGTGGTTGTTTAAAGCATGGCTTGAATGTATGGATGGAATTGCTCCAATGGGGATTATTACCGACCAAGACCGTGCTATGCAAAACGCCATTGCAATTGTATTCCCAAATTCCAACCACCGATGGTGTTTATGGCACATAATGAAAAAGGTACCCGAAAAACTCGGAGGGGATGCACATAAAGATGAAATATTGGATGTTATACATGACTGCATTTATGATTCACAATACACCCAAGAGTTTGAGGAGAAATGGCTTGACATGGTTCAAAGGTATGAATTTGTAATTTTTTATCTTCTTCTGCCAGTAACTATTTCTCTGCCTCATAGACAGGTCTATCTGTCATAGACGATAAAGTTTGTACGTCACAGACACAATGTGTTTGTGGGCAGAGAATAAGTTCTTTGTGATTTTTTTTACAAACTTACTTTGTGCGCTTTAAATGTGTTCAGGTTTGCACTTCAAGAGCATGATTGGCTTCGTGTGATGTACAATGAAAGAAAGCGGTGGGTACCATGTTATTTAAAGCCAACATTTTGGGCCGGCATGTCCACAACTCAACGAAGTGAGAGCATCAACGCATTTTTCGATAAGTTTGTCAATTCCAAAACCACTCTAAAACAATTTGTTGAACAATACGGATGTGCTTTGCGTGATAAGGTGGAAAAAGAATTTCAAGCGGATACTAGCTCATTTACCAAAATGATTCCATGTGTGACTAGATATCCAATGGAAAAACAAGTGCAACAAATTTACACCATTTCTAAGTTCGCGGAGTTTCAAAGGGAATTACTTGAAGGAAAGCTTTATTGTGATATCATTTTATGTGAAGACGGTAGAAAATATACCGTGCAAGAGCATATGGATATTAATGGATTTAGGAAGATTGTGAACTTCCATATTGACTTTGACCCAATTACTTGTGTTGGAATATGTAGTTGTCATTTGTTTGAGTTTAGGGGCATGATATGTAGACACTTGCTTGTGATCTTTGTTCGGCTTGATATACATGACTTGCCCGAGGTGTACCTAATGAGTAGATGGAGGAAAGACATGAAAAGGGCGTACCAACGAGTGAAAATAAATTATGACGGGTGGATTACAACGGTTGAACAACAACGTTTTGACAAGTTATGTAAGACCTTTGAGTCTCTTGCCAACATGGTTGCGGATGATGAGGCGAAATACAGTGAAGTCCTCCTTTGGTTGGAAACCCAGTTGACCACATATACTCCTCCACTTAGCCATTCTTGTATTGTTGGCAACATGACGCCACTTGAAGAGCCAATAACAAATATTCGTGCCGAGGTCCCACTTCCACCTATTGGAGATCCGAAAAGTACGAAGCGCAAGGGAGCCCCAAAGAAAAACCGGGCCAAGGGTCCATTAGAAAAGGGGAAGAAGAAAGGAAGGGTTAACAAGGATAATGCACGAGCCACAACCACAAGAAACCAACTTGGTAATGGTGAAGGCCCTAGTAATGCTGGAGCTATTGTGCCAATGTTGTACTCTACTGGTTTAGATTTAAATTTATGTTTGATGTGAATACATGTACTATGATGTATTGGTTTTTGTTATATCATCAATCAATGTTTTGAGTCACAAACAATATTATGTCCTCATAGTCAGATCGGTGTTCAGCCACAAACAAGGAAGTCGACTCATAGACACAATAATAACACTGCCAAAAGGACTTTAATAGGTCCAAACAATATATATCATAATCATAAGGTTGTAAAGAAGCACATATGAACATATGTTTTATCAACTATGAGCTTTAATTGAATAAGTTTATAAATTTTGAGTTTTAATTTATTAAAGACTACTTAATTTAGTAAAGTATTAAGCTTTAATGAACAAAATCTATAATTGCAAAATGTTAATAACCATTTGCTACCTTATAGTAAATAATAATAGTTATGAGCATTTTTTTACATTACTTGATTAGTCAATAAATGTGCATTACCCCAGCGACCAATGTATATAATATATTCACATACACATGCATTTAGAAACAGTTGAGACTTCATACAGTACAAGGTTGATTACAGTTGCATTACACCCTACATTTGAACCCTCTTGGGAATAACCTTGTAGGATACTGTACAAGGTTGATTACAGTACAACAGTGTACATTATCATACATTTCTTTCCAAAAGCTTACCAAATATACAAAACAGGTAATTAATGTTTGTTACATGGGAACCTTGATCATGAAAGTAATGTTGTTACATGAGCAAAAACTATACAGGTGGATGTCAGCAAAAACATAGAAATGTGGATGTGTCTAAGAAACTGTCTTCCTCAATTTCCAAAGTCGCAGGGCATAGTGCCATCTCTTTCTGGCCACGTTTGCATACTCGCAATGTGGGCTCAAGGGTAGCCCCAACATCAGTGCCTCCGTATAACAAATAACCATCAGTCCACAAATAGTTCTGCAACACAGACATAATAAACAATTATGAAGTGCTCACAGACATAATTGTACACAACACATAAAGCATTATTCAGTGGTCACATACAAAAATGTACACAACACATAAACAATATCTTGCTTAACACATACCCTCCCTCCTGTTGCGGTACATCTGGCACTGCCTCAGCATTCCATTGCTTTACCTCACGCACATCTTGGTGGACTTGTATGACTCGGAAGAGCAGCGGAAGTCTCACACATAAGTTTGAAGCATGCAACCTTGACCTACTTGTTTTCATTGAGTCATACACGTGCACCACTTTTGATTGAAGGTCAATTTCCGCTAACACCCAATGCATACCTACAACATTTAGAGGTACAAAAACCTGAACAGAATAACAAATAAATAATACATTAGCACTGACTTTGTTACTGTAATAAAAGGAAGAAAATAATGAAATTTGATGCATGAAATAAATACACAGGCAATTAAATGAAGACCTTAAGCACTTACTTTAACCAACCCTCTCCAGTCAACACTTGGTAGACACCTATCAGCAGTCCAGACATCCTCATCCTTATCATCCTTACTCAATACTTGATGCTACACGAACAAAACGTTTTAATTACATAGACAATTATGTAATTAATGATTTACGAACAAATAAAAAATTATTATGTAAGTTTAGTTAAAATAAACAACACATACCGTAAAGTAAGGATTCATTAGCTTATACGGCTTCTCCGACTTACAATCTTTTAGAATCAGGTACGAAAGAGCATCCATATGCTAAGAAATAATAAAGTCAGACATACATATACATGACAACTTTAGAAAGTTCTGGAATAGATAAGGCACTCACATAGGACCATAATGTCTCCTCTGGTTCAACAAGCTTACGGAAAAACTCCCTATCCACTTCATCACATGATGGCAGATTCAGAACAACCGTTGACGGTTCTACATTGTCCGCTTCTTCTATCCAAGCCTTGAGAGATGCAATATCTGCATCAGTTGGGTGAAACATAGCAGGCAGAATTGATACAATCGGTTCAACATATGGTGAGCATTGGTACTTTGAACAAGACCGTTTTCTCTTTTTCACTTTTCCCCCCCTCAAAAGTTCAAGATCGTCAACATCTACCGGTGCACTACCAACATCGTGTCCATCCCATTCCAAATTTTCAAATGGACCAGGTGCTGTTAATGTAGGTAGGTTGTCGTCCACCTGCATACATTCCTATTACACACAGGCATATGTTAGTACACACAGACAAATTTTTATATGCACACCAACATTTATTTTAACACATAGACAATACAGTCTTCATACTTAGTTCACATAGCATTAAGGCAACCTGAGTTGACAACCCATGCAATTCAATACTTTTTTAACAATCTGATTTTACAACACATAACATACTCAGTTAACTTACATCACGCCAAGATTAACATTAATACACACACAATACAAAACAAATATTTACCTCGTTTAAGCACATCATTAGATCTGGGAAGCTGTTCCCTTCCTTATTCTGCTCACTTCCCCAATTCACCTATTACATAAAGAAGCACTTCATTTCTCATTCCACAAAAATAACAACATAGATACATCAAAAAATATACCTCATTCACCACAGTTGAGATGATGACATCTGCCCGTGTCCCACCTTCCTTATCACCAGCTTCTTCATTTACAACCGTGGTGTTCATAGGCACTGGTTGAGGGGCTTCGTTTGGTTCCTCCGAGGACAGATTCTCTTCATTGTCAACCTCACCGTCAACCTGACCGGCATAATTCTTAATCACATCAGCATCTTCACCCTCAGCAGTTTGTACTATCTTCTCAGCCACACCCTTAACCGCACCTTCATCCTGATGAACCACTTCATCTTTAACATTATGAACCTACAATACAAGTAGTTGAATTTGTTATTCACCAAGGTAATGAGAAGGGCCAGCAAATGCCAGACGCAAGTAAGTTAGAGCATACCTCTTGCTCAACAGATGGATTATGATTGTTAATCAACTTTAAAAGTAGCAGCTTTATTTCTGAAATACTCTCCTCAACACCACTAATCTTCTTTTCCACCCTTTCTACACACAGTCGTAGGTCCTGCATCTCTTTCAATATTTTTAGTTTTTGGAAATTGCGAACGTCTTCCTGGATTGTTTCATCTTCTTCCTCATCTTCTTTCTCTCCCTCCTCTGAATCATCAACCTTCTCCTCCTCCTACAAAAAAAGTATTACTAAAATAAAGGCTATTTGAAATTAAGTTAATGAATGAGACACACATACCTCTGGAAAGACCACTCGTCGCAGCTTTGAGTAATGAAATTTGCGTGCAGCAGTCCAATTCAGCAAAGGCACGTCATGATTTGCCACTTTGTTTGCAAAGTTGTTACCAACTTCAGGAATTTCTTCGTAAGCCCACACCTATAGACATAAGAATAAACCCAAAATACATTTATTCATTGTTAATTGAACACATTGCCCGAGGTAAATTAATATCCATACTTATTCAAAATATAAATTCAAATAGTTCAAATTTCACAGTTATATATATACAACTAAATGTATATATATAGTTATAGTCACATATATGTTATCATTCAAACAGTTATTCAAACGAATATTCAAACTAAATTTAACATAGGTATGTGTGTGTGTGTAGTGAATTTATAAGTTATATATTCAACTAAATATAACAGTTATATCTATACAACCTGGATTAACATTTATAGTTATTCAAACTATAAATTCAAATAGTTCAAATGGGTAGAATGTTCAAATTTAACATGTAATTAATATCCATAGTTATTCAATCAATAGTAATATATATTTATCTCCTATATATAAATAAATAAATAAATAAGTGGAATAGGGAAGTTGTCATATATACCTGCAAAACTAGTGGAAAACCGTACAATGATAACTTCGCATTCTTATAATTAGGATTGGCCTGCTTTTTTTCCTTGAACTTCTCAGGTTGGTCATGCATCAGGTCCTTCATATGCTTCACTAATATCTTGTACGAACGAAGTGACCACGGACACTTCCTGAATGCCTCTAAATCATTCACCAATCTGATTGATGATGCATTTATCCTCGTAGTGTTGTCCTTTGCTAGCAAAACGCACTCAATGTAGTACAACGAGGCCAACTTCACAGCATCCATCGAATCAGCACGTGTGGAAAACCTCAGATTCTTTAATCTATTCTTGAAAGTCACGTGGGTAATGTCAACTTTGTCACCCAAATATTTATGAGCAAGTGCCCCAACTGGTTCATGTTCTTCGGCAGAATCGTGTCCAGAATCATGTCCACCATCCTGTTCAGAATCTTCTTCCGCAGCTGCTTCAAGTTCTGGTTCAGCACCGTGTGGTAATCCACTTATGTAGCAAAAGTCCACATAAGTAAACTTATACAGTGTACCCCCAATGGCAAACCACAGCTCATCATCCGGTTGCTCCTTCACTAGGTGTAAGGCCAGCATGTGCAATATTTGCCCAGAATTGTCTGTCTCTGGGATGTCAATCAGATGCCCCCATGGTAAATCCCTAAACACTTCCCTTTGTCTTTCAGTTAACCTCTTTTTTACCCATTTGGCTGCATTTCTAAAGTCTGAACACACAGAGTACTGCGCGGGGAAATACTCGTCACTCGGAATGTGTAACTTCAGCCGACTGGCAGTTGAACAAACATAAATGTCAAACATAAAATAACACCCCACATGAAACTTATGCCAGCACACACATAACTTATAAACATAGACAAAGGAACTACACTATAATAGACACAATTTCATTCACAGACAATAACTAACACTCCAAATGAACCAGACCACTACACAGCCAACTTATGAACTCCAAATGTACATTATTTGATCCACAGACAATAATTAACAACAAATTTACTTTACACCACCACACAGGCAACTTATAAACATGAAACAACACAATTATACTATATCACAAACACAATTTCATTCACAGACAATAATTAACGCCTAATGAAGATTTCACCACCACACACACACCTTACAGACATCAACAAAGGAAGCATACCATATCATACATAAGTGTTGATTCAGAGACAATACTTCACATATTCACAGTCTATAAACCAGCCCACAGTCAAAAAAATATAACCCTAAAAAAAAAAAAGGTTAGGAAATGATACATACTCCGCCATCTCTGACAGTGGGGTTCGCACCATTGGTGAGCTTCGTCGTCCTAAACAAGTGCGCGACGATGGGGCCTCCTCGCTTGAAACCTCAAATCGCTTGGACAGGGCTTCGATTGAGAAGAGTTACACCAGAAGGGGGGGAGCGAGCGTCGTTCCGGAGATGGCTGCCGGTTCACACCTCAAACGCAGAGACCTCATGGGGATATGAGTGACAAGTATGGGGGAGAGGAGTTTCGACTCTCAAGGGCGGCGGGTGTTTTGATTTTCAAGAAACGGGGGGAGTGAGGGAGTTATGCGAGTGAGGTGAGGGGAAAAGGGGAGGAGGGAAAAGTGGGGGTAATTTTTTTGGGGGCTTTTATAGTGTGTATAAGGTGGGTGCAATTGTGTGTACAAAGAGCATTATTGAAAAAAAAATGAATGGAGGAAAGAGATTATAAAGAAGTGCCAGAAGATAAAATTTAGTAAAAACGGACCGACGTAGTGGCATAAGTTGGTAAAATGAATTAATATATGGTTGAGAAAATTAAAACACTGCCTGCAGGATTCAATGCACTGCTCAGCTATTTATTAGGGAGTATTTTTGAATATTCAATGCATAGCTCAGCCGACCTATTTTTTATTTTAATTCCTTTCAAATCCTATTCAATTTTAAATACGGTGGTGTAGACCTTAGAGAGGAACTCCATTCCTAGCTACAGGAATTATTATGGTATTGTTTTAAATTATTAAATAGAGGAACCAAATTTCCTTTCTAAATTGTTAAAGTTCCTTTCTAATCCAACTAAACAACGAATATGCTTAATTCCTAGCCAAGTTCCTATCTAAATTACATACGATTATATTTCCCTACCAATTTCCTCTCTATTTCAACATTTTCTAGTAGTGATGAATCCTTTTCACTTCTTTAATCATCGTTCTTTCGAACTCGTCTCTTGAACTCTAAAACTCGTTTAATTTCTTTGAACTCAACCCTCTCTTTTCTTGGAAGCAGAAATGCAAAACAACTCACACATAGTTCACCGCTTTCAATTCGTGAGTTCTTCTTTCATTATCTTGTGCGATCTGGTTTTGCAAAAAGGAGCATAAGGTTTTTGTGTTTTCACCGGCGATGTTCATTGAACTCTAACGTAGGTTATGTCTTTCCAAACCAATTGGCCAAGGCAGTCCTCTATTTTCTCGAGACTTATTTTTATTTGTTAGTTTTTATGTTAGTTTTTATTTTTCAACGAAGTCGGAGTAAATCAATCTTGTTGTATGTGAGCTAGATATCAAGTTATTCATCTTGATTCAATAAACTGTTGGAAAAATGTGTGAAAAATTGCATTAAATGGCTATTTTCGGGCAATTTTTTGAGTGGGGTCCACTTCCGATTTGGGTCGGGTCAAAGTGGTTTCGGATTGTCATTGTTCAGGGCTACAATTCGATATACGGTACGCTCAAAACGGATAACGAGTGAATGAGAAATCGTTTTTCGAAGTTTACCCGTTAGAATGGAAAAACTGGGAAAAAGGATGGGTTTCTAGTGTGTTAATTTCCCACACCGGAAAACCCAAGGGATTTGCTACCCTTTATAAAGGGACTCCCCCCTTATGGAGTTAAGATTCTTAAGGGTAAAGGCTCTCTCCACGCGCGCAGGGGGGTGCAAATCAAATCCCGAATTCGGAGAAGAAAAACCGCGACTTGCGTGCGCGGGCGACCTGCGGACACGAATGTCGTCCAGAAGTCTTCGGACAGAAGCCTACGGATCAGAACACCTCGTTGGAGTTCTGATGGCCGCCCATCAGAGTTGGGGGTACTCTGATGGCCGCGGATCAGAGTTGGGGTACTCTAATGCCCAACGTTCTTATCTTTTAATGCAGCGTTAAATGGACAGTTCATGGACGATTCAATGCCCAACGGATCAGAAGCCTACGGATCAGAACACCTCGTTGGAGTTCTGATGGCAGCCCATCAGAGATGAGGTATTCTGATGGCCGCCCATCAGAGTTGGGGGTACTCTGATGGCCGCGGATCAGAGTTGGGGTCTTCTGATTGGCCTCCGATCAGAACCCCTCCCGGGGAAGTTCTGATGGAGGTCTTCTCTCGCACTTCTGAAACGTTACAACAATTAATGCCCAACGTTCTTATCTTTTAATGCAGCGTTAAATGGACAGTTCATGGACGATTCAATGCCCAACGGACTGGTCATTGATGTCCAACGTTCAGGTCCATTAATTCACCATTTACACACAACAAATCCTCCTATATAATGGCTGGCAGGTGGTTTGCAACAACACACGTTCTTACACGAATTCATACACGTTTTAGCTCTAAAAACACACTGCTAGCATTCTGAAAATTTCCTGAGTGTTCAGACTTGTTCTCGTTCGTTGGAACTTTTGTTTGTGTGCTCAAACATTAGTTCGTAGTCATCGTATCATGGGAAAAGATTGTTGCAACGCTCCTAGCACCGTGGGAGGCAACAAATACGTTTTAAGGACATCGTGCGTAGCACGAGCTTTGACTAATTCTGCTTCATCTCCTTTCTTGTTTTTCTCTAGTCATTTTATTTAATTAATTTATTTTAATTAATTTTCTTTATTTTCCGAAACACACCCAACATAAACTTCTTTTTAAATTTATGAATACGTACTATTTTTTATTTAGCGAATGATAACATTATTTCTTTGATAATAAAGGGGAGTCAAAATACTAGAGAAATTAAAAGATCACAACTTTATTAATTGATCGATAACAAAATTTCGAGTTAATCGATCATATTCTATATTTGTCCATGACACTTGTATACATTTCCATCATATATATGACATGATCTTAATTTATCGCATGATGCCACATTGCCACGTTTATTGAGTCTCTTTTTCTGTTTATCAATTATCACCTGCCAATGATTAATATAACTACCTCTCCCTAGTGAAGCCATGATTGTCTACACATGTGGAGAACCGAGTGGGCTTAATCTCTTGCCCAATTTCTCACGAATCTCACTATATAAGTCTCATGACTAGACCCAATCCTATCACCCAAAAGATTGTTCGTTATTGATCCTAATACTCGATCAATGAGTATCACAATAGTAATTGTATCCCCAGGACGGGCGGTTCCACGAATTTGGATTCGACTGGGCTTGAGAGTAATTGTATTAAGGGAGTGTTTGCGATTGCTTGTGCTTTTTAAAAGTGATTTTTTTAAGAGATTATTGGAAAAGTGATTTATAGTAAAAGTATGTAGTGTTTGGGAATAGAAGTGATTAAGATGAAAAAGTTAAACTGGAAGTGTTTGGTAAAAAAGTGATTTTTAATGGAATATTTTGTTTAACTACAAAAATGCCCTTGACATATAAAATTTTCAAGCATCTCTCCCTTGCCCAGCGCGCCTCAAAGCCGATCTTGTCTTTCAAAGCAGGTAGTATGAGGCACCATCTCTCCTGCAAGGGTGCAATTGCTTCTTTCAATTGAAAAAATAGAAAGCCGTATAAGGTAGCATATATTCCTCCCTGCAAATCTGCAATTGCTTCCTCTTTTGTTCGAAATTGCTTCTTGCAATTCATTCATCTGTTGAAAGACATCACAACGATCTATCCCAAAAGACATGGAAGTCATATAGGACGGGCTACCTCAACAGATCTGGAAGTCAAGCTGTGGCGGTGATCCTGTTCACGGCAGCCTCAGAGCGCCTGGGGCCTTGCGCTCTCCTTCCATCCTTCTGGCTTCTTGTTAATTAATAAAACTATATATATACATATAATTAATTATATATAATTATATATGTATATAATTATATATGTACGGAATGAGCAGGTGAGGAGCTAAACGGGAGTTATGGAGTCGGGGATGAAGAAGTACCGAAGGAGATGGGGGTATCTTTGGTCCAAGCTAAATAAATGTTCCATTATAACTATCCTAAAAGTTTGAATTAATTACAAAAAAAACCAATAAGCAGTTAAAAGCACCCCAACTCCAACTTCCAGCTTTTGGCTTTAAAGTACTTTTTTTAAGTAGAAGCAGGTGATTGCAAACACTATTTTCTGCTTTATTTAAGTTAAAAGCTCACAAGTGCTTTTTTTAAGTGTTAACAAACACTACTTAAGACTATTGCAATGCAATGCAATGGAATGAAGTATGTAATGGAATAAAAAGTGTAACATAATGGAATGAAATCATTATTCCATTACTATGTTTGGTTAGCAGCGCGCGACAGAACACGCGAGAAGAAGGAAAAGTGCAGATTTGAGAGGGAAAATTCATCTGACGGGAGAGGGAGTAGTTGGTTGCACAAAAAAAATACTCCCTCCGGTTTTTATTAAACTTCACACTTTCCTTTTTGGGACGGTTTAAAATAAACTTCACACTTCCTTATTTTCTTTTTTGGCAAAGAAATATACATCAAAACAGTGCCAAACAGTGTCTCAACAGTGCCAAAAGTGTCTCAACAGTGTCAAACAGTGTCTCAACAGTGTACTCTACTGTAAAATCAAATTTCTTTCCTTATTTTGTGTGAAGTCAAAGTGTGAAGTTTAATAAAAACTGGAATACAAAAAAGAGTAATCACAAATATATAACATTTCTAATGTAAAGCCTATTACATACTTTAAAGTAATGGATTTGATATAAGTAATTCACATTACATTACGGTTTATAATAAAATGACATACCAAATATTTTATTCGAATCAACATGTAATGTTCATTACATTACATGATTGATTACATTATAGCAAACATAGCCTAAGATTAATTAAACATTAATATGGTGAGCTAAATTAATATAATTAAAAATGAAAAAAATTACATGGTATAACAGGCTATGCCCAAGTAATTTATGGATTCAGTTTGGAAAGACTAATAATGTCACCCTAGCTTTTACCTTTGTCGATCATCTTCTCATATATAATGTCGTGTGGTACATACTATGTATATATAAGTTGGTCTAATTAATATATTACCTCCGTCCCGTTGGAATGTTCCCACTTTCCTTTTTTGGACGTCCAAATGGAAAGTTCTCATTTCCCTAAATGGAAAGTTATCCTACATCAAAACAGTGTCAAACAGTGCAAAACAGTGTCAAACAGCGTCCAAACAGTGTCCAAACAGTAAAATTTACCCCCTGGTAAGTTTATTTCCTTAATATGTGTGTAGGTCAAACCGGGAACATTCCAACGAGACGGAGGGAGTATAACCTAACATCGTGATGGCTCCACTGGTATAACAAACTTTGTTAGTAATATAACGGTTCGTGAATAATACAATAATACGTACATTCGTATATAATACGATACAATTATATAAAATACGGCTAAATATATGTTTCATACGTCCTTGAAATGAATAAAGATACGAACGTGTTTTAAACGTTTCATAATTTAAAAATACGACATATAATACATGTCTTATAGACTAATTTAATGATGAGAGTAAGGAGTAATTTAGCATATGCATCACATTCTTCAACAATTTAAAATGTACGGAATAGTTTTTTCAGATATAAAATTTTAATTCATAGGTACAATAAGTAATAAAAATGA